GTTTGTTTTTTTTTTTGTTTTGTTTTTTTAAATAGGCTTGATTTTCATTATGCTAAGTAGTATTCATAAAATGTGACCCTGATATGTTTACAATAATAAATAACAATAACATAAGTAATGATATTTTTATTTTATTTTTATTTATTTTTTCCATCATTTTTTTTAATAGGCATCTTTTCAGTACGCAAAATAGAATGTGTAATATCTTTGTAAAATATGAACTTGACATTTATTTATTTTTTAAACAATATGTAAAGCTTTTTTAATTTTCATTTAAAAAATAGGCTTCATTTTTAGTATGCAAAATAGAATTTTTGTGAAATGTGAACTGTATATGTTTAAAATGAAATGGCAATATATAACGCTATTTTTATTTTATTAGAATTTTTCATTTTCAGTAGGCATAGTATAATTTATAATATGAAATGTGAGCTGGACATTTTTTCTTAAATAGGCTTGATTTTCATGCTTTGTGAACTGTGGCTTTGACATGTTTAAAATAAATAAAAATAAAATGCAAAATTTCAAAATAGAATTGATTTTATTTTTTTTTTTCGTGTGAAATGCTTCCAAGTAAAATAATCCATCATCATTGACCTCTATGACACTGCTGCAGGGAAGAAGATCTCCTATCAGAGCAGGGTGAAGGATGAGCCAGCGTACTACTGCAACGAGTGCGACGTGAGGATACTCAATAGATTGATGGCAAATAATGTTCTGTCGTGAGATGTTGCATCTTGTTGATGTATGTGACTGTGCATGTGTGAACAGGTGGAGGTGTTTAACCTGCTGTTTGTGACCAGTGAGAACAGCAGTAGGAAGACGTATGTGGTTCACTGTGAGGACTGCGCTCGGGAGCAGATCCCCAGTCTGAGCGGGATGGTGGTGCTGGAGCAGTACCGCATCAGTGAGCTCATGAACACATATGATAACTTCACCCTGGTAAGACAAACACTCATACGCACTAATGTGAAAGCGTAACATGTGATAATATTTGATTTTACTGTTTCTTTTTATTTATAAGACAAAAAGGCTTTATTTTAGGTATCCTTGAATTTATAATTTTGTGAAATGTGACCTTTTTATTAGAATTTTTCATTTTCAGTAGGCATAGTATAATTTATAATATGAAATGTGAGCTGGACATTTTTTCTTAAATAGGCTTGATTTTCATGCTTTGTGAACTGTGGCTTTGACATGTTTAAAATAAATAAAAATAAAATGCAAAATTTCAAAATAGAATTGATTTTACTCATTACATTTTATTTTATTGTCTTTATTTTTTTTAAATAGTTTTTAATTTTGTAATGCAAATAATAATTATTACGATATTTTTGTTAATAGTGATCTGGACCTGTTTAAAGTAAAATCTGTAATTTTTTTTTTTTTTCGTGTGAAATGCTTCCAAGTAAAATAATCCATCATCATTGACCTCTATGACACTGTATGTCCATTTTAAACATGTAAATTGAAATTATTTTCACAGCAATTGTAATGCATGAGTTTTCTCTTCCCAGGCTCCAGTCCCGTGCTGTAGGTGAACCTGATGTCTGAAACTACACAGCCATAACCAAATCTTCCACCCTCCTGGCCCATAGCAGCGGCACAAACCTTAAGTTCTTCTTTTTTTTTTTCTTTTTCTTTACCAAAACCACTACTTCAACTTACGGAACAGCCAATCAAATCGCTGTTTACTTCCCATTGTTTACAATACTATCAGCCAATGTCTCTCCAACGCAGTCGTCTTCCCCTCAGACATCTGATAGTTCTCACGCTCCTGATTACAGAAAGACTAGAGTGGTGCTACATCATTGGACTTGGCTATCAGGTCACTCATCCACAATGGATAACTGCTGTGATTCCTTTTTTTAAAAAATTTGTCAACTTGCCGAACATGTGCATTAATTCAGGTACTGATGTCGTTTACGTTTTTTATGCAAATGGTAGGCGATTTCACCAGTCCAGTTTGTCTCTGGTTTATCTGAGTAAGTGGTGCTTTGATACAATGTATATAACAGCAGAGGATTCATTTCTCTTGGAGCTGATGACCATTGCAGTGGCATTAGGTTTTTTCTGTTGTTTCAGTCGTGTCATATTTACTACAAGTCTGACCTTTGTAAATGGTATTTGCATATTTGACTGGGTGCTATTTTTTTTAAGTTGTTAGGTTTTAAGGTTTTCGGAAAGAAAAAAAACACTTTTTTAACAGTCTAGACTAAGACCATTTGGGCCTTGTGGTATGCATTTAGACAAAAGATGATTTCCTGGTATTTGATGAAATAAATAATGACATTTTTTAGAGCATTAAAATATCCCGTGAGGTACAGTATATGTAACAGTTATTCCAAAAAATACGGGTTTAATCTAAAACGTATTTGATTGCATTTGTCTGGAAAACCTTGTGTGTGTTACGTGAATCTTTTTCGTACAACTCAAAAAATTCCTGCAAACTTGTGGCTTTTGGTGCATTTCTCAGTCTGATCGACTCCTTTGAGTTTCTTATTTTTGGAATCATAACTGAATTATTCTTTGTTGGCTTTGTTTTTTATTTATTTACTTGTCTTTTCCTTTTGTATTTATTGATCGTTCGTGATGCTTCTCTTTTTCTGAGACATGCGTATTTTGTAAATCTTTCTGTTGTGCTGATGTGGTGAGGTTTACGGGGGAACGTCTGATTCAAAATGGTGCTGATCCCCCTTCCTCCCGGGTCTCTCTCTGTCTGTATAAATGATCCGTAGGTTTGAAAACATGAATTTAATCTCACAAGTTGGTGCTTAGAACGGAGTCAGTACACTTTTATGAACTGAATGTCTTTGTACTGTATATTTAACACATGAAATTAGTTTGCTTTACATGAGGTACACAGGATATTGTGACGCGTGTGTGATTCCAGTCATCCTAGCCGTTCTGATTTGTATCATTATTGATGAATTGCAGATTATTGAGAGTTTTCAGATTTGCGTTCCGTCGATACCTCTCGGAGTTTGTTTTCAGGTTCGTTGCCATTTTTTTTGTTTTACTGTATAACAAAAAAAAGTAAAAAGAAAAGATAAAAGTAAAGGAAAACATTAAGGAACTGAGCCAGACTTGTCTAAAACATTTTGTGATTTTTGTGTGTTATACCTGATATAATTCTAACTATAAAAAATAAAACATTCTGATAAATTCCCATGTGTTTACGTGTAAGTTATTTCTGGATTGTGTGTGGAAGTGTATTAGAGGAAGGTTACAGATTCGCAGTCTCCTGTCTGTCTGCGAGTGGAAGCGGAGGCCTGCAGAGGTCATGACACCTCAGCGCTCTCTGTGGACTTTACTGCGGAAATCCTGGCTCCAAGGACAGGAAGACAGGTTTTCCTCTTTTATGACTGTCAGGATATACCTCGTTTTTCACCATCCCTCCACACTTAACTTGTATATTTCACCAGCACCCTTTTTATCTCCCTTTCTATATCGCCACCGCTGTGAATAAATAAACAACTGTAAACTGTTTATTTGCTCACAGATAAAGTCATCATCCTGTTTTCACCCCGTTAACCCGATATCTTATCCAGTTCACTCTATCACAGTCTTTCTCAGCCGGTGGGTCATGACCTGAAAATGTTTATCAGTTCTGATAAAATCCCAGACAGCTGCGAACAAAATTATGCTAGATGCAAATAATTACATGCAAGTAACCATACAATGGTGCATAGTTTGGACAGCAAAATAAATAGGCTACAAAAGGAAAGAGAAAATGCTATATTATATTATATCGGTTTAATATCTCTCAGGACATGTCAGAGCTGTCAAGACAAATGATTTAATTTTTTTATTATATTATATTATCCATGAAAAATTACATTTATTCATAGATTAGTGTCAAAGGAATGTCCATATGGCAGGTATAAGATATAATATAAGAAGCTAAAAGACTTAACATCATGTATTCAGTTTATAATATAATAAATCATTTGCAGATTTTTTTTTTTAAATTTTAACATTTTGGCCTATTTTATTTTCTAAGGTCCAATTCTCGCTATTAGCAAACCATTAACTACGATTTTTGCCTCGATAAACTCCTAATTTGCTGCTTATTAATAGTTAGTAAGGCAGTTGTTAAGTTTAGGTACTGGGTCGGATTAGAGATGTAGAATATGGTCATGCAGAATATGTGCTTTATAAGCACTAATCAGCCAATATGTTATTGATAGGCATAAGCAACTAGTTAAAAGAGAATTGTTCCCTAAACATTTTTTTGCCACAATTTCGGCATTTAATTTTGGATCCTGAAGCAAAAACCTCCAGCATCTCATTCAAAGCCAATCTACATCACGTCTGCTGAAATCTCCAAAAAACATCCCAACAGCCCCCTGTGCCCTGACAGCTCTGACACGTCCTGAGAGATATTAAACAGGCATCAACTCCCCCCGCTGTAGCTGCACCCAAATGTTTTAGAGGGCCCTTAGTGATACAGACCTACATAAAGCCTTTAGTAACTCTTATATACAGTATTTCATATTTTTGTAACTCAAGCGAGAAAGCCTTCTTGATCTCTTTCTCTGCCACTGGGAGTTTCTCCAATCTCTTTCAGATTTCACAGTTTTTTGGTATGCCTCTTAATCATGTTATATATTTTCCTCAGGACATCCGAATTCTTCTATTGTGCTTGAGATGTCTGATTTTAGACCAGAGGGTCTGGTTTTCTAAGACTGTGATGAAAATACAGCGCTTGTGATGTAAGAACCAGGGGTTATGTAACGGGCAGGGTTTTTTCTTTTGAAAGTGACCCAAGTCAATCATTCAAGCTGCCCCTTTACTCAAAACACCAACTACTGCATTAATAAGATGCAGAAATCTGTTCTTTAGGTTTGCTTTCAGGACCTTTTATAGTTAAACTATGAAATGTCAGTTTTGTATGACATGCTTCTAAAGATCTTTTCAATGGTCTCAAATTTACAAAACAAAAAAAAGTCTGCCACAACATAAGAAATGAAATTTACTAACTATTTCTGAGTGAAAATTGTTCAGAGTAATGTGCAAAACACTCTTTTGTGGAGTGTGTAGCTCCAAAGGGAGTCCAGGTCATCCATCTTATTAGGCAAAAAATCTCCTGGATAAGACTACGCCCCCACTACCCAACACCCCACAATCCTAAATGCCCCAGCCGGAGCAGCGGGAGGCCAGAAAGAGAAGTGGGAGCAAAGAGATATAACCGAGTTACCAAGGCAGGACATCTTCGTCAAAGGAAGGAAAGAGCGGAGCATGAAAGGAGGAAGAGAGGAGTGAGCGTTCCACAGAGTTCACTTTCACACAGAGCCAGTGGAGATTCTACAGGTGGACATGAAAACTAGTTGAATAAATGTATAGTAAAAATTATAGACTGGAATAATCATCTCAGCCAGTGTGAAGGATTCATTGGGGAAAGGAAATTATATAACAAGTAAAGGAAATTTTTCTACAGGAGGAAAGGTGGTGTTTGAGGGAACGGACGACCAACTTTATTACTCTAATGTAAGTATAGAAGATTTTAGACTTTGGATTGGGTATATGTAAATAACACTGTTTCATGTAAATACCTTTTAGGGTTTTACTTTATATCACACTGTCCACACAAAAAAAAAAGTCAGTAATTTTTTTATTTTTGTGCAGATTTTTAAAATCGTATTAGAATGATTTCTGAAGGATCATATGACACTGAAGACTGGAGTAATGATGCTGAAAATTCAGCTTTGCATCACTAAAATTATTAAAATAGAAAACCGTTGTTTTAAATAGTAATAATATTTCACAATACTGTATTTGTGATCAAATAAATGCAGTCTTGGAGAGCAAAAAGATTAAAACAGCCATTTAATAAAATATCCATTAAATAATACAAAAAATTATTTAAATATGCACATATAAACTGTGGACTTTCAATCATTCAAGCTTTGAATGAATAGATTGTAAAGGTCTTTCTTTATGAAGCATTAAGGCCTGGTATCTTAAACCAAGATGAAATATATTCTTAATTTTCAATACACCAGTGATAAACACTGTTTGAACTTATTTCATAGTTTAGTTCAGTTTGGGCTCTGTTCAAAAAACAGGAAGGGGGCAAAAACTTTTTCACACCACTGTATATACTGACCTTAATTCCCTGAAGACTGTCTATGTCCTGTCAAAACCCCCTTTATATATTTATATATTTTGTGGAATTTCCTGATATTCTGAACCTTGAATCAGAATGTAAGATTAGTCATGGTGGTGATTTAATCTTGGCAAATGTACAGATGTTTGCACTATTCACACTAATGAAAACATATAAACACTTAAATAAAATAAAATATTCCTATATTATAAAATATTTATGTTTTAAATATCTCAATTAATATTAATAATATTAATATGTATATATCTAAATAAACAATCAAATAAAATATGAAAATAATTTACCACCTATAATTCTATAAGTGTAACAATATAAATGAGTCTTTTGGTAATTATTGTCACTTTAATAAACACTTAAGTGATACAGGCCATTGAAAACTTCCTCAAGGTCACAACAAATTGCTCCTATACGAGTTTAAAAGGTGATTGTGTGGGAAAGGTTTTTGAATCAAGGTCTTGATAACATCGGAACTATTAATGGAAGCGTGATATCATACTTGTATTCACTAAAAATTGGGCCCACTCCAAATAAACAAGG